TACTACTAGTAAGGCACCTGTTACTACTAGCGATGCACTTGTTCCTAGTAGCGTCCTTGTTACTACTAGTAAGGCACTTGTTCCTAGTAGCTGCAAAAAGACAGCCTTCCTTTGCCGTTTGACATTTATTGCCTTTGGTTGACTGGAAATCTCTATGGGGCTGTCGCAACAATGATCTGTCCCAAGGACTGCTTTCACACGAAAAAATTGCAACAAATGGAGCTGTCCCAACCGTGCACCAAAGGGAGTTGTTGCTGTTACCTCTGGAAGAATTTCTTCGTCGAAGCCAACCATGAGTCTCTTGGGTGTCAAGTGGAGCTTCTTTTCCATACCCAAAAACCAGTTCTGGCCCACAATCCAGCTGACTGAGATCGATTGAGTACTCCTTTGATTAGATTTGATGAGAAACATTAGGGTCATTATGGTCATTAGGCCCTGAATGTCTTGTGTCGAGGTCGCCAGAAAACGGCGCAGTTGAATTGGGCTCTGCAGAAGATGGCTGGTCGCTTTAGCCAGACCCGAACGGATTCCTCCAAGTCCCTCCACGCAGTTACAGCTGACTGCTGACTCGCAGCTGAAAACAACACTGGCTAGGAAGAAGGCCTGATGTCCTTTTATTCCGCTTCGAGATGGCTTTGACAGAAAGTTCAAGGTGCTTATGCTAAGAATACAGAAACTACTGTAGAATGAACCTGAAATCGTAGCCAACTAAAAATATATACTGTAACATACACCTTAAACGATTTGTGTAAACACAATCCCCTTCAAACATGGACATCGTTCTTGTCTGCTTGGGGGCCTCAAACTACCATGAACCGCGTGCCACCCGCTGACGCGGTCCGCTTGATCCGCGTCGCACGCGCTCGCCGCTTCGTGCCTGGGAGGGGTGGGAGGCTTGGTTTTGCGCCACTCCTGGACGAAGGAAGGTCAGAAGCATCAAACTTCTAATTTACATATTGTTTCTAATAGCTTCTTGTTACTACTAGTAATGCCCTTGTTACTAGTAGCGATGTACTTGTTCCTAGTAGCTTATTGTCAGAAGCATCAAACTTCTAATTTATATATATTATTTATAATAGCTTCTTGTTACTACTAGTAAGGCACTTGTTACTAGTAGCAATGCACTTGTTCCTAGTAGCTTATTGTCAGAAGCATCAAACTGGTGATTAGATGTGATTAGTATCCTTGAAACGAGTCGCTCATGGATAGTGTTGGAGTCGCGATTGCTATTCGCGAGTATGTTCCGCTAAACTAGCCAATCTGCGCACGTTCGGCTGTTCAGGCGCTGGCATTATTGATTTGAGATCTGTTGAGGTTCTGAAGCTCCTCATAGAGACAAATTCATGTGTGTGTTTATTGTGTCCCTCTCTCTATCTCGTTTTTTCTTTCATTTCTCTCTCTCTCTCTCTGTCTCTCTCTCTCTCTCTCTCTCTGTATGTCTCTCTCTCTGTTTTTTTCTTTTTTTCGTTCTTTTCTTTTCATGTCATTTCATTTCATGGCATGTCATTCCCTGGTTTTTCTTTTCATGTCTTTTCATTTCATGTCATTTCATGTCATGTCATTCCTTTTCTTGTCTTTTCTTTTCGTTTCTTTTCGTTTCATGTCATTTCATTTCATTTCATTTCATTTCATGTGTTTTCGTTCTGTCTCTCTGTCTCTCTGTCTCTCTCTCTCTCTTTCTCTCTTTCTCTCTTTCTCTCTTTCTCTCTATCTCTCTATCTCTCTCTCTCTCTGTTTTTCTCTTTCTGTCTCTCTGTTCTTCCCTCTGCTTTTCTCTCTACCGCAGATTCAGGGTGGGACTATCAGGTGGCACCGACGACTTCCCAATGACAATTTCCTAATGACAGGGGTGTGACCCCCAATGAAATGCCAGTGATTCAAGTCTTACCAACCACTTGTGTTATAGTCTGTTGGAATGGGACCGACCTGTTCCATCAGAGTCCTTCTCGAATGAACAATCCAACCTGACCTGGCATACCCAGTGTGCACCCCCTTTTCGGTCCGTGTGTTTTCCTCGGAACCGGTCGAGAACCCCTCGTTTTCGCTCCTCGGCAGCCCGCTTCCATTGGCTGAAGGCCTCTTGCCACTGACGCAGCTTCTCTCGAAACCACTCATTGGGCCGCAACTCGTCCACCTTGAGCAGTGTGTTGTTGGGCGCTATCAAGTGGAGTCCAAATGAAACTCTGGCCTGCATTAGACAGCCAAGATCCCATACAACGTCGAAAATTAATCCCAAGTACCTATTTAAAGACACTTCCCAATTGAAAACACTATGTTGGAAACCCATACATATGTGCTTATTGTTTTATTTACCATCCTTTTAAACTGCTTCTGAACTACCAACATGGCCGACTTTGTGGCAGTTTTTTAAGTTATATAGGTTCGGAAAAACCCCCACCAAATCAACAATATTGCTGACCCTGGTTGCTGAATCTGGTTGTCCCTCCGCTGGCTGCCTGCCTCTCTCGTTTCAGCTGTGTAGCGGACTGTGTGGCTGTCTGTCTTGCTGGGCAGTTTGATATCCTCTTGCCACAAGCCTACAAACATGCCGCGGTTATACATATATATATATGTATTAATACAATTACTTCATCTTGGCTATGCCAAAGGAGGCTTTAGAGGATGTCAACCTGCCCTGCCTGGTCTCTCTAGCTGCCTAGTCTGCCGGCTGACTAGCTGCGCCGTCCCAGGCTGTCTCCCTCTTCAAGGTTCACACAGCGCTGCGCAGGACACGCAATCTGCACTGAATACTATCATTCAAAAAGGATCCTCCCACCATGTCAGGGACCCCTATTGAAAAAAGGCACCCGAGTTTTTTAAATAGTGGGGCGGGCGTTTAATAGGTGGAAGGGTCCAGGGATCAAGCTCTCTTCATGGTTCTTTTCCTACGGTAGTAAGTAGTATATATTATCTATATGTACGGCAATCAAAACTTTCCAAAGAGGTTGGTCGCAACTATGTTCTTACGGCGCTTGTAAGGCAGGGTTCGTGGCCAGGGTTCACGTTGGTCGCAGGCTCGCTTTTCGAGGCCGGATCAGCACAAAGTTGACGCCATGGTCGTTGCACAGTAGTCTTGCATGGCAGCTGGCATGCGCAAATGTTGCTTGAACATGCGTGAACTTTGGATTTGACCTGTCGCCCGTTTCTCAAACTTGGGAGATGTACTGCGCGAAAGCTTTGTGTTGGTATCGACATTTCCATCAATTGTCTTCATGCCATGCATGTTGCCATGGTCGTGAGTTTTGTGGTTCTCGACTTTGCTTGTGGGTCCCCGGGTTGTGTGCTATGATTGTGGTCGCGTGTTGTGGTTGTGTGCTGTGGTTGTGTGTCGTGGTTGTGTGCTGTGGTTGTGTGCTGTAAATGTCTCTTTGTGGTTGTGTGTTGTGGTTGTGGTTGTGGTTGCGCTTTGTGGTTGTGTGTGTGATTGTGTTTGTGGTTGTGTTTGTGGTGCCTGCTTGTGGCTGTGTGTTTGTTGCTGTGTTTGTGGTTGTGTCTTTGTCATTGTGTTTGTGGTTGTGTTTGTGGTTGTATTGGTGGCTGTGTGTTTGTGATTGTGTGTGTTTGTGATTGTGTTTGTGGCTGTTCTTGCGATTGTGTGTTTGTGGCTGTGTTTGTGGACGTGTTTGTGGCTGTGTGTTTGTGGATGTGTTTGTGGTTGTGTCTTCGTGATTGTGTGTTTGTGGATGTGTTTGTGGCTGTGTTTGTGGCTGTGTGTTTGTGACTGTGTGTGTTTGTGATTGTGTTGGTGGCTGTGCTTGCGATTGTGTGTTTGTGGTTTTGCCTGTGGCTGTGTTTGTGGCTGTGTGGTTGTGGTTGTGTTGGTGGTTGTGCTTGCGATTGTGTCTTTGTGGCTTTGCTTGTGGCTGTGTGTTTGTGATTGTGTTGGTGGTTGTGCTTGCGATTGTGTGCTTGTGGTTTTGCTTGTGGTTGTGTTTGTGGCTGTGTGTTTGTGATTGTGTTGGTGGCTGTGCTTGCGATTGTGTGTTTGTGGTTTAATTGTGGTTGTGTTTGTGGCTGTGTGTTTGTGATTGTGTTGGTGGCTGTGCTTGCGATTGTGTGTGTTGTGGTTTTGCTTGTGGTTGTGTTTGTGGCTATGTGTTTGTGATTGTGTGTTTGTGGTTGTATTTGCGGTTGTGTGCTGGTTGAGGTCCGGCGGGCAATACTGCCACGCGGCCCTCGCGGTTGAGGTCCGGCGGGGAACACTGCCACGCGGCCCTCGCGGTTGAGGTCTGGCAAGAAACACTGCCACGCGGCCCTCGCGGTTGAGGTCTGGCGGGGAACACTGCCGTCCGGAGCTGGCGGTTGAGGTCCGGGGGGGAACACTGCGAGGAGAAGGCAAAGGAGCCGGAGGCGGAGGACGAGGAGGAGGATGGCAGCTGATATAAAATCTAACAACCCTCACCTGACAGGTGGGGAAAAAACCTCGGAGTGCCAAGTTTGCGGCCGCGCTTGCGCAGCCGTGGGTTTGTGCTTTCTTTTCTTCGGAGACGCAGACCTCGAAGTGCGACGCTTGCGGCTTCGCTTGCCCACCTGTGTGATCGCACGTCTGCATGTGTGTGTGTGTGCTCTGATATGAGTCTCATATGCGTGCTCTTACCTGTGTGCTCTTACCTGTGTGCCCTCACCTACTACCTGTGTGTGTGCTCTCTCATGTGTGCGCATGTATTGTGTGTGTGATCTCACCTGGGTGCTCTTATACGTGTGCTTTTATTTTGAGGTGTCTTGCCGTCATAACATATCCGGCATCATTAGTTCTACTGTAAGAATTGAAATCCCAAACCTGGCACCCTTCCACCGATGACAGGGATGCGGCAGGGGTTCTTCTAGCAGACCCTGGTCTGCACGAAGGTTTTTTTAAAGGCCATCTACAAGTTGTTTAAAGGTTTCCCTCCTCGTGCTAGTCATTTACCTTCAACAGCCAGCAACTTTGCCATGCCAAAAGTCAAAGCAAATAGCAACTCGTTCATGGCGCCGGGAGCGTTGAGCCAGCCCGTTCGCCGTCTTCGTTCCGAGGCGCCCGTTGCATGAGCTTTTTCTCCGCCACCCAGCGCTGCAAGTGTTCCAGGCACTGCTCCTCCGCCTGCCACGCCCACAGGATCTCCTCGCAGCGGGGCTCGCCTTAAGCCTGTTGAACCGGGAAAACCTATGGTGTTGGAGTGCAAATTTGAGACACTCCTGGTGAAACTGGGGCGGATCGTGGTGGGAAAAGGTATGACATGGAAATGTAGAACATGAAGCAAAAAACCAGAAAAGGATGCCCCTGGAGGGCTTCTTCCCCAAAAGAACTTCAAGTTGGCCAGACTTTCTGCCCGCGTCCTTCGAGATTAAGACACAATACTTGCTGGCTTGCTGAGGCTGAAAAAACCGCCCCGGTCCAGCAACCCTCGCCTCGAAACCTTCCTCTTTCTTGGGGAGGCTGAAGTTCCCGAAGGATTTGGCAATCTCTTTCCTCAGCGGAGTTGGCCACCAAAGCCCAGCCGCATTTTAAAAACACCGAGCAGTCTCCCAGCGGCGTCACTGAAAACGCCCTTATCTTCCAAGGCCACGAGCAACTGGTCAAGCGAAAACAACGCTGAGAAAAACTGAGAGCCGCCTGCGAACTCTGCAAACTTGGAGAGATGGCGCAGAAATCTAGGGCATCAATCCCCGAACACGCCCCTCGATCTGCAGTGGGAATGTGCACGTGAGCAAATGTTTGCGGTCATTGAACTTTTGCCACCAGGACTTGTGGAAACTGGAGGTCGTGTGCTATGGATAGATAGGAACAAACACCTCAGAAAACCCTATGCGCCTATGTGCCACCATGTACAAATAGAGGCAGTTTGCCTCAACTTACTTCTCCAGGGGTAGCTATTCCGGGACTGCTTATTTCACTTCTGGCTCCTGCCTCTGACAAGAGCAACACGTCTTTTTCTTCAGCGGCTTAAGATGTGGAGCCGCTGTCAAGCTGGATTAAAAGAGATTGTTGATGCCTCCACATGTTTCCACATGCCTCCACGTCCCTCCACTCTCCCAAAACAGAAACCCTACCAAGTGGTGTAAAGGACCCGCCGCAATCGATGGCTTTTCTAGGTGGGGAACAACCCTCTAACGCTGGCTATGTGACGACCGCCCTAGTGTTGCCTAAGGCTACAGTAACTGGCCATTTTTGGGGGCGCTCTTTTTTGCGCCCAGGGTCTCTTGCTGCTCATCGACCATGCGTTCCAGATACGCTCGCTCTTCGTCCTCCTTGGAGCTGTGAACACAATTTCTGAGTCCCTCAGTTTCCCACCGGTTCGACCATTGGAGGCCAGACAAACCAAGTCTGGCCATCAACCTACATCGACTCCCTGGACGGATCGTGTTGATAGTGTTGATCAACGCAAAATCAACCTACAAGAACACACAGTGTGATGCAAACATGTTCCGCCTGTTCTTGTTGAGGGAAAACGAATTCAAAAAAAGTTACAGGTTATCCACCACTGACTGGGGTAGGAACACGGGTGAGCCTGCCAATGTTGCTCCCTTAACGATTCCGGTGCAATTCCATTACACAGTGAGTGGCAAAATGGTTGCAACCGTTCGCAACAAACAGTGAAGGGTTGTGAGTAGGGGGACGGGATATCCCAGTCCGTACCCCATTCAAATTGGGCAATGACGCACCAAAATATTGATGGTAATGGCTCGAGGACACACTAAACAAATGGAAAAGGTAAGTAATCCCTGCATTGTGAAATGCGTGAACAAGATCCTCAACCCTGCTTTTCATATGTTCGGCTGTTAAACATATAGTCATATAGTTATAAACTACTGTAAATGGTCCTTGCTGACTGACCTCGCACCTCTTGAGGGCCCTTGCTCTTCTAACCCTTCCGCCCGCACCTCTACCCACTTCCATGTCCACCCCCCCTCCCAACCAGAAGTCACCACACACGCATGCGGCCGCATGCGGTCGGCATGCGCGTTCGTTTGGCCGTGCGCGTTCGTTTGCCAGGCAAGCAGCGGAGATGACGACAGCATCCTTGGCTTTTGTCACCTCTGCCTCGTGCTGGTCTCAGAAAGATTACCAATAGATTTTTGTTTTGCAAATTTAGAACTCATAATTACAGATAAAGTTAGATAGACTTGCAGTGACCTCCAAAATATGTTGCGCATGTTGAGCTTGGTGGTGGCTTTTCAATCTAGTGTGCTTGGGATCAACAAACAACAGGAAGCCTTTGCTGATCCAGCCACAGCGAACATATTCAAACAACAGTTGGCTGGGAAGCTGTGAGGAAAAAGACGTCCTGAACCACCTGGAAGCGACTTCCAGCTCCGTATGTTTGTGCATGGAACCTTCGTCTGCTAAACTAACTGGACCGAATCTTCGGCAAGACCGAGTCTTTCCCGAGAACATCGGGGCTTGGTCCGTCATCCGGATCAACGGAAAGGAGTCCCAAGATTGCTGCCACGGGCGAAAGGGGCAGCCTGATTGTGTTGTCTTGTTTTCTGTTCGCGAATAACACAAAAAAGCTCACGAAGCTCTGGTTTTCTATGAGACCAGTGAGTTGGGAAATCAACTGTTTGTTTTGAAGGTATAATATATATATACTATATATACCTTGCTGAATGAACACACACTGAGTAAAACCACTCAAATCTTAAGAAACCTGGCCCGGACATGCTCGGGAAAAATGGAAAATGCCGGAGAAGGATCCAAACATTTCCTAATGAAAGGCAGGATGTTTTTCAGGGTTTGAATATTGGTCGCAGCAGCTTTGTGAATTTCATGAGTGCAACATGGTCAAAACCGCCCATCAAGCGGGACGGTGCGAAACGATGTCCTTGAACGATATGTTGTATGCAGTCATGCGAGAGATAACCTGGTGGTTTCTAGGCAGTGGTGATGGTTTGGCTACGTTCAATTTTCTTGTCGCAAACAATTCCCTGCTGGCCGCGGATGTTCCTACCTAGCGCGGGTTTTCATGTTGTTTCCAAAATCCGTGAATCCTCCCAGGCAAATTGGGCTGAGGCAGGCATGTTCGCCCCGGGTGCTTCATATGGATGGCACAAACCTGTTAAACCATTTTCGGCCAGCTGAAATGTCCAGTCCACAATACAACCACGTGGAGGTGTGCGCCATTGTGCCATATGGGCTCTAATTCACAAGCTTGGTACCTCCGAGCCTGAAGGCCTACAGAATGCTCGACCGCGCTGCACCCACCAGTGAAACTGGCACCTCCAAGTCTTCCTGCGATGGCTGCTGCGCCTCCGTCTCTTCCGTGCCACCTTGTAAGAAACGGAGATGGGGTGGAAACCAGGCAGAGGTGGCGTGTTGCGTTTATGCATTTTAGCCCCCGAGTCTTGGGCGGTCCATCAAGATGAAGGAAGAGTTGCTCTGTTCTGATCGTCGCACAAAGAATTGAATTGATATTGACATGAACCATCTGCAACTACTCAAGGAGCACAAAGGCCTACACAAAAAATTTTTTTAAAAAGATTTATATATAGAACCTCGCCTTCAAGTCCAAAAACCTCGCCTTGACTCTCGTCAACCTCCAAAAGCTCCCAAGAAAGCAACCTTTGACCCCCGCTCCAAAAACCTGAAGGCAACGGTGGTGGATTTTGGGTCGAAGGAACCAGCGCAGGTTCCAAGACAGCACAACTGTTACGTTCGTAGCTTCTTGTTACTACTAGTAAGGCACTTGTTACTACTAGTAAGGCACTTGTTTCTAATAGCTTTTTCATATATGGCATACATTGGCGTACTGCCAAAAGTGATCTCACTCCACCGACGCCACAGCCCTACGCTCGGGCGCTTGCAATCTCGTTAGTCTCTGGAGCCCTACTCTCCCAACTGCTGGGATTCGCGCATTCTGGTCGCGTGAGTCTCGTTCGCATTCTTCATTCCGATTCCATCGTCCATCGTCCAATCCCCACTCCAAGCGGCCGTTCTCCGGCTTCTTCGCCTCTGCCTTGCTGGCCTGGCTTCTTCGGAGCTCGGACGCCACCTGCATGTCCCGTGCAGAAAGCGAACTGCATAGAGTGATGGGCCAGAGGAGAGAAGGTCTGCACAACACATGGAAGGCAAATCGGCTCCTGCAAGAAGTAGGGCAGGAGTTTGGCCCAAGATGCTCCAACCAGCAATTCGTTCTTCAATGATGCACTGAACCCATCACAAGCCACTTGCCATCCATTGCTATCGCATGATGCACAAAAACGGGTGACACGCCCTCATCATGCCCGCCACGACTTGCGGTTTGGCTCTCCAGTGCCCTCGGATTCCCCCGTTGGCCTTCTCCTGCTTTTCGGCCCGCAGCTTGGCTCGGACCTTTTCCCTGAAGGCCTGGAAGAGGCATGGGGCGTGGAGGACCGTGGAGGACCGTGGAGGCGTAAGCGTGAAGGTACATGGAGGCGTACTAGTTTGGGGAGATCGAGCGTTCAACAGCTTGATTCCTGGGCAAGTTCTTTACATGATTGTGGCTAAAAAGAGAGGATTGAAGTCACATCCATGGCTCTACAAATCGAGCAAGTCCAAGGTTCTGCTGCGAAGTGGCCATGCTGGCCATGCTTCTGTTGCTTTGGTGGAGACGACTTCGCCCAGTCAACTGACTGAACCCGCTCCGGTGTGACACACGCGTCCAGAAACCACTTGTTGGAGGCTCGTGGTAATGTTGACCTATGATTCATCAATGCACTTTAAATAAAGTTGATTGGTGGATTTGGTGAAGAAAAGAACCACAAACCGCTCAGTTCTGCCCGCTCTGCCCACTCTGCCCGCACACGATCCACACATCCCTCGCCTCTGGTGGCCAGCCCATCATGACCACCGCCGTCCGCTTGAAGCGGGCGGGGTCGAAGGTCCGCAGTGTGCTGCGAGCACTGGGCACCAGGTATTTCCTTGGAGGTGCGAGGTGCGAGGTGGCGGCGTGGTACATGGGGTGCAGAACCGTCGTTGGAAGAAGCACAGCCCTTCAAACCATGAAGAAGATAGATCAAGGAATCGGACTGTGCATCCTGCTTTGGATCCTGTCCTCTTCTTCAGGGGATTCAAAACGATTTGCAGGCATCCGGCGCTAAAAATGATTGTGACCGGCAAAAGTCTAAAGATATCGACCACTTTGACCTGTACCATACTTGGAAAGCCTGCCCTTCACTAGCCAGTAGGGTGTTTCTTGAATCCCAAGGCTTCAAAAGTTGCCCTTCAGGTTAACACATATATCATACAGTATGTACCGTAAATTATAGAGACCGACCGTGGATTAAAATTGTTCCTTGGTAGAGGAAGAACATCACTGGATACCACTAGCATTTTTTGTTCAGAGGCAGGCATCGCAGTTTTTAGTGTGTATATATATATATATATATATCTGTTTGGTCTTCCCAGGGATCCAGTGCGGGTCTCGCTATTCTGATATTCTAATACACCATAACACTACGCCCATTTTCGTGAACCCACTGGCAACCCACCGGGCTAACCGCCCAGGCACTGCAGCTCTTTGACGAGAAAACTCTGTCGTGTGAAGGGCGCCAGCGACTCGATCATCTCCCGTGTGGCATCTCAGCGGACGCAGCACATGTCAAGCGACGGCTTCGGTCCCAGCCTCTTCGGTCCCTGCCTATCCCTTTGAAGTTCGGAGTTGGATTCGGGTCTCCATTCGAGCCATTCGAATCCGAAGGCACCGAATTGGTCCACCGAAATTTAATAAGGAGAGCGTGTCTCCACCCCACCGGAAAGCTGGGCTCGGGTTTCACCAAAGCTAGCTGGTCCACCGAAATGACCGGAGCTCATGTTCATACCGACGGCGGTCGACCACCTGGCGGCACCTGAAGAGTTTCGTTCGATGTTTCTCAGTGTTTCGTTCGATGAAACGTCGTTGGGTGGTCCGCTAGTCTCGGCTCGAAGGAAACGTCGGCTCACCGTTACAGGTACAGAGAGTGATTTCTATCAGACTGTCAGTCAGAGGATCGCCCTAATATTCTCGCGGCCAATACCGATTGCGAAAACACAAATACTATTCACTTCGAGCTATCGCCACCCGACCAGGTGTGTCCCAAGTTTTGTTTGGTGTTGCCATGATGTGTGTGTGTGTGTGTGTCGTGTTCGTCAGTGTTTGTCTGGTTGTTTTCATCGGTCGAAAACGAAACACAGGTGGGATGCTGGGTCGAGGCAGTGGGGGATGCAAGGGACGTGTGGTGCTGCTTGGTGTCAGTGTGATTGTCTGTCGTCTTTTTGGTCGGGCGGGCACTGGATAAATGCCCTGAAGCAACGGACCCCGATCCTTTCGGGTGGCAAAGAAGAAACAGCACAAACCATGCAGTTTGACAAAGCTCTCACCCGTGAGAGAACGGAAGAGCGCAGGGCGCATAGAGCATGCGTTCCACTCACAACACCAGGCGTCCAAGCCTTGAATCTACTACCAAGCATCCACCGGAAACACCAGAAGAATACAGTATACAGAGACTAAAATCACCATCATGTAAGAACCCGAAGAAGAAGCCGGCTTCTCAAAGAAGACCTTCCCCACCTTGAAGAAAGCTGCCAACACTTTTTTCGGCCACCTGTCCGCCCGCCCCCCAATGCGAAGGACTGAGCTGCTCAGGTCCAGGTCCCTCAGCGCCACGCCGCTCAGATGGGCCCAAGCTTTCCTCGAAGAGCGAAGCCGAGGCGGAACCGCCGGAGGCACCCGGCAAACCCGAGGCACCGCCGCTGCGACACGGAGCGACCGAGTGAGCCTTGTTTGTATCTTCCGTGTCGTTTCGTGTCCGTGACACGGAGCAAAAGAGCGTTCGAGCTCCTCTTCGTCTTCGGTATATAATGTATATTCCCAAATAGGTAGAAAAGTAATGAAAAGTAGATCCCCACTAAACATGTGGAAACCGTTTCTATCTATTTTGGGGACCATCTTAAACCATATTATGAGTGTATGATGGTGTGTGGCTGTTGCCGGGGGCGGAACGAAAGAAATATCTGGATCCAACTAATTGGTGCAATTCTTGGTGCGATTCTTTGAGCTGTCAACTTCCACGGCTTTTGGTCATGCAAACAAAGGGGGGGTCGCGGTCGGCACATGTCAAAAGGGCGGGTCTGCGTACTGACGTCAGGGGCTCTCAAAATGAATGCGTGTGTGTGGCTCAAAACGAGAATAATTGAACCGGTTCCAGGAACCGGTTCCAAGAACCAAATCACTTGAGATTTCTGAGGTTCCTGAGGCTTGTCGCTATCCACACCCCCAACACCTTTGTTGGAAAGTCATTTCTCAACTCAACTCAGTGGTTTGTTGCAACCATCGTCATTTCGTCCGTGGACATCCACTCCGACGTTCCCCCCTCTTGAGTTGCAATAGAATTTGGGCCTAGCCTTCACTTCACCCACTCAATTCTTGGGGGCGAATCTGGCCATCTGAACACTCTTTTCCGGGTGCCCTGGTCTGATATATTTCGACCCAGTTGCAGGGACTCCATGCTGAGCTCCACATAGGGCCCTGAGGCCTCGTCCGTTGGATGTGGATGCACTTCGGGGACACTTCTCATGGGTTCTCAGCAACAGAACGAACATCCTGAACCGAGGCCAAAATGTGTGAGGCCGGCGGCGCCAAGACTCCTTCTACCCAAGTTGCATGGGGTGCGAGTGTGTCCAGACAAAAACACCGGAAAAGAAAGTGCAAGGAAAGAGAAGGTGTCAGTATACGGAATATGTCTTCGTTCTTCGATTCCACACGCCACTCCTTGCCAGTTGAGTTTCACTAGTTCGCCTGTAGAAAACTAGTTTGCATATGTTCGCATGTCTTCCACTGACCAAAAGGAATCGAAACCAACTTTGCCTCCTTCTCCTTTTGGAACTCCTCTAAGAAGGCACCTCAGATTGGCACTGGGCTTCACACTTTAACTCTGGGGTGAATGCAGTATAAGTGTATCTGCATTATGCAATGCAAAGCTAGTGGTTCGTCAAATCCTTTCCGGAAAGCCACCAGAAAAGGTCACTGCGCAGCATCCGTACCAACTCCTTCCTTCGTCAGAGGCCGGAACAACATTCCGGCGACCAAAGTCACGCAGCCATCCTCTGTCAGAATGACACCACAGTTTCCACCAAATACCCAAACCCCATCTACACCTCATGGATGCTGGCAAACAAAAGCTGTGCACAAAGAACCAGGGATTCAAGAGAAGAGCAAACCGAGCTCCAAGAAAGACACGGTCGGAATCACAGCAAGTGTACCGTCATCCACATCGCTACAGGCCACAACAACCCCCCAAGCCTTAAGTGCAAGGGAATGAGATCTCACCAGCGATGGAATTACCTTTATGCTTCTGTGCCTCAAACAGGCTGCCATTCTAAATCCCCAAGCCCAGCCGAGGAGTTGTACCACTACTTTCATCCCAAGAGCGTGTGCCCTCATCAGGCATTCCAATGGGGAAGATCACCTGCAGGATCATAGCGTCAAGCAGTGCGAGTGCTCAAACGAATATCTTCAAAACAAGCCTGGAAGTTGAAAGGAATGACAAGCATGTCTGATCTCACGAGATGTAGCTGTGCTGGAAGCTTGCTCCGTGATGACTAGGATTGGCCCATCCTTTGGTTGAACATCTAAACTAAATACCAAGTGGGAGGCATATGTGAGTGGTCAAGGGTCTTTCAAACACCATCCATGTGCTGCTATTTAACACACCCCTTTTGGCTAACCCCGTCACTGTCTGAGTCTGGTGAACATCCACCCATCTGGAAGCTCCGACCTCTTGCTTCCCTTCCGGCTCCGGTAGTATCTCCACATCCTCTCTCGCCGCCACGTGCAGCGTCCGACAGGCAAAGGGCAGTGGAGCCAAGGGCTCAAACTCGTCGAAGTTCGCGTGGAGTGTGACCTGCAAAGCCCGGGGCGAGCGGAGCGGTGGACGGCGGCCGGCCAGGCGGCTGCCTCGGGGTGAAGGAACATATCGCCGCGTTCAGTTCGGGGGGGGTAAGACCAGTGGAGGATCATGCACTCAATGTCCAAGAAAGTGAGTGAACCTTGATTCCACAAGGTGAGCAGGCAAAAAGGGCGATAGACTGGGAAGGGTGTCTCTTTCGATGTCCGCTCATTTGTTCAAAGGGCTCATGCCCTGAACGTTCGGATGTATATCTGGCGGCCACTCAGACGGTGCAACCTGGTATATATACAGTGGTTTCAGAGTAGATTGCACAATCCCCAAGAGGTGGTTATGGACCCCCCACCTACAAGACACCTTGGGGTCTGTGCCATCTACTCTGCAACCACTCTATGTACAAGGAAGACTTCAAGAAGAGCTAAAACGCCGTTGGCTCTGCTCTGAACGCTCTCTGAGGGACATTCTTGAAGTTGATCGTCGGATAGAGCGTCTTGTCCTCCGATCGCGGCAGAGGTCCGATCGCCCCGCGTTGCGCGGATCGGCACATCGCACTGGTCGCCCGTGGTGTCTGGTGGGTTCAAAGAGGTGGAACAAATAGAAGTGTCAGCCGATGCTTTTAAATGGTAGCGTCCTTGCTCCGTTCATAGCGATACCCTTTGCTCCTAGTAGCGTCCTTGCTCCTAGTAGTACGGCCAGGAGCCCCTAGTAGCTTCTTGCTCCTAAGGTGGCCAAATAAGGATGAAACATTAGGGAGATTTCACATCTCCGATGACATGCATGAGCGTGAGCCATAATGAATTCTACACAAAAGAAACGTCAGCCGTCAGATGTATTCATCGCATTTCATCGCCATGTTGGGGCCAGTTGGCTGGAGGATATTCAGTCCTCACGTTGGAGAGAGAGGAGGTTCAGGTTCATTGCTGGTGGCACGTTCTGGCTGCACTGCCTCTTTGGTCCAATTACATATAGATCTATAGTATACCTTGACCCTCAGAGCCTCAGAGTGTCAGGGTAGACAAATGTTCCACAAAACCGCCCCAACTCCGCGCCAACTCCGCCCCGTCCTTGAGGCGATCGGGTAAACGCTGGGGGCGGCCGACGCGGCAGCCGTTCACGAACAGGCTCAAGGTTTGGCTGTTGGGGTGCTCCGCCAGCAGGTTCAGCACCACCCCCAGCACCAGGTTCCGTTCCTCGGAACGGGGCCAGTCGAGACGTGCACCTTTTTTTTTCACCCCGCAGGTCGGGCGTTTGGGCCAACGTCCGTTCCTCCGAATTGGTTGGGCCGAAAGAGCCCAGGATGGACCTGCCAAGCAGTTGTGAGGTTCCGAAGTGTTCCGTCGATTGGGTGGGAATGGCTTGAAATGTCCGGCCTTGGTGGGACGAGTCCGCAAGTATTCTCAACGGTCTCTGGTTCAGGGTAATTGTTCAGCGGGCAGTCGTCCCTCATCAAGCATTGCTATATATATATATATTATATGATGTGTATATATATATATGTGTGTATTTATTTATATACATAGAGCATCATAGAGCTATGGCGACAAATTGTCCGTTCTCCATAGCGGAGAGGAAGGATGTCCCACCCTGCAGTACCTCCAGGGAAGCGCTAGAGTCTAGCCATGGGGGTTGACTGACAGAGTGGCGTGTGACGCTGTTGGTTCATCACATCCAAAAAAACCGTGTTGTACTATTATCTGCAGGTCTAAAGGATTATTGTATCGAGAAAAGTTAGTGTTGTTGTTGCTGTTGTTGCTGTTGTTGTTGCTGTTGCTGTTGTTGTCGTTGTTGTCGTCGTCGTCGTTGTTCTCAAGATCTAGTAGAGCTTTGCGCTTGTTCCAGTGCATCTATCGATATTATATGTATAATATATATATATATACATAGCGTAAGCATGGTGAGCAAAAACCATGGAGGGAGTCAGAGACCCACACGTGTAGATGTCTGCCTGTCCGGAGCCTCTATCTACTGAGCGATGTATACCTTGAGGCGTTGCCCGTGTTTCTCTCAGATTTTGAAAACATACATTGTCTATCTGGGTCAATCACGACATCAACCACCATGAATTGAAAAAGGTTCAAGACCTCCCACATCCGTCACATCTCTTCACTACACACCCTTCACCACGATACAGCCCGACGTCCTGAGGTCCACTTCGATTGGACCCGCAGGGAGCACTCGCAGGCCCCTCATCCGCTCCCCCCACGTCCGAGGCGCGACCGGAATCCGGTCGCTGAGGCCCTCCATCCAATTCTTCCGGCCATTCATCAGGAGACACCCTGGCGTCCCAACGAGGAACGAAAAAGAGGTGTTTTAGTTTTAGGGTCCAGAGGGGCCCTCAATGGAGGAACCATGGGTCATCCCAAAACAAGAACCATCGTCACACTCCCGGAAATTTACGCTATGATCATGGCCAAAAATCGGAACACCTCTGGCGTATTGACCAGCACAATAGCACGATGCCCCGTTTCGGAACTCCGGAAAAAGAAAAACAAACAAGCTCGATCGAAAGAATGCATGAGTGCCTGATCATTACGCAGCGACCCATAGAATTTGCTGAGGGTTGTATGAACTGTGGGCGAGGGAAGGAGCCCAAACAACCACCTCACCTGCTATTCGGCAGGTCGAGCAGGGAGTGAACGCTGTGGCAGTCGACCAAACGGGCAGGTCAATGCAATCGCCCGAGAGAGGGGTGTCGGAAATGTGTTATAGTTATGCAGAGGAAGATCATCTGTCCAAGCTCACCTGAGTTATGTATGCACCATCCAAGGGCTTCGGATGGCAGCCCCCTGAAGGGTAGAACGGCCTACTTCCACGTGGAGGATTTCCCAGCTGCCTTCAGTGTCAAAGCCGATGCTCTCCTCACCTGGTGGCAGGAATTCTTTCACGGAATTCTTCTACTGCTTGGTTGAGCTATGGCCATGGCACCTGATTTTTCAGAACGTCCCCATATTGCTCCAACTCCGCGGCTGAGCAAAGACATCTTCAAGACTCAGGGATCCAAAAAAGTGGGGAAAAGAACCCTTGGGCGTCCCACAAGTCGGAGATACACTCAGCGACCGACCAGTCTTTTCAGTTGAACGACTTGGAATTGGGCACTTCTCAGCAAACACTCCAAGATCTGTGGAGATGTCCACAGGTGGAATCAAATGTTTGAAGAACTGAACCAATTGAATGCTGAATATGGGGTGCTACCATTGCTGGCCCCTGGTAGAAGGTAAACTGACTATATCATAAGCCACACTGGGGTCCTCAAAACTTCTGAAATGAAGTTGCCTAATGACCTGATTCACTTGAGCCTACTTCTCTTCTCCGAAATCAGAGACCCTCTTCACCCACGTTTGGACTCTTTGGCGCACCATCGCCCACAAAGAGCGAGCTCTCCCTCGTCGAAAAGCCGATGGCCACGTGCCTCATAGCGGCGCACACCGGCGCACTGGGCGGGCACCCGAACCGCTCTGACGAGCCGGTCGTAGCGTTCGGAAGTGAAGTGAGAAGAGGTTGCCGATCACCCCACTCCGACTGGAAAACCACGTCGTTGACCATGTAATTCAGTATATCAATAGGGGCCATGGCCATACGATAACATGGCGGCTTCAAACCTGATCCAAGCAAGGATCGGGCTCCGGTGCGACCAGTGGGCCATCTCTGAAAATGGGCTTCGCGGGATGAAAGGATCGATCTGTAGGGGTGGGGCGGGCTTCAACGGCGATGAGTGGGGCACTCAATGCAGGGAACATTCCCCGTGACCAGGGGCGCTTATGGCGACCAGTGGCGACCAGTGGCGACCAGGCGCGACCGGGGCGACCAGGCTTCCACATCCGACAAGCAAAGAAGTTGCCAAATTCAAGCAAGAACCCGCCAGTTATGGGTGTAAATCATTTTGTGGAGAGGGTTGAACCCCACCCCATTTCATAGTGAATATTCGCGCTTAGATCCCTTATCCACCAGTCATGTGCACTAAGAAAATCCTGGGCGCTTGGCAGATGCCAAGTCACTGCGTGGATTTGCCTCGTTGCCGGCGGTTGTAGTCAGGTGGGCTCCTTGTACCCATCTGCAAGCCCAGTCTGACAACCAATCGGTGAAAAATTGGTGGGAGGGCTGCGTTATCTTTGAATTGTTGCAATGTTTGATGGCAAATCTCCCAGGTCACTGGAAGGTTTCCCAGAAAAAAGAAACAGCCACCAATCAATGCCGAGTCCCGCAAAGGACTCCATCAGTACTGCGATTTCTGGTATCACCGACTCGTCACCAACTCATAGACTTGCAATTCATCTGGACAACCCCCCCCCAACAAAAGGAGCCCCCGTCGAATCGCTTCCAATCCCCACTCGTGGTCCGGGTCCCTCCAATCGTTTGTGCGACTTGTAGGGCAGAACATGAAAGAACCATCTCCCATTGGGAACATGAAAGAACCATCTCCCATCCCAATGGTTTCGTCTCTGATTCTTCTCTTGCAGGTCAGTCAAACTCATGCCCTACAATGCCGTCCTCCACAGCACACACATCCAGGCAGTTGTTCATTCGCCAGAAATTCCATGACAAACCAGAAGCACTTCGTCCACTCTCTTCAGAAGGACAAGAAGAGACCAATCTCTCAAGACCAAACAGTTGGACTTTCAACACCAAACGCCCAACGCGTTCTCCCCCCCTTTCCATAAGCCATAAGCCAGTCACTGAGCTTCTCTCTCCGACCTCCCAGTCACTCAGTCCTCACTTCGAAGACCTTCACCTCAAAGAGATATCTGCCGCTTCTCAGCCCCGCCGTCGCCTTCACGGCCCCCAGCAGCTGATGCAACCCTTGATCGCTCATCGGAATCAACACGCCTCATCGCCGCCGAGCCGGCCGCCGAGACCGGTGGGCTCGAAGGACCGGAACGACCCCGAGAAGACGGTTCCGACGGTTCGCCCCCAAACGCCCCCCGTGGGCCTCAACGGACATGCTTTCCGAAGAGGACCGGAGAGTCGGAGAGGTGTGGCGCACCGAAACATGCGAAGCTACCGAACAGGCGTGGGATGGACCGTGCACTTGGATGCATGGACCGTGTTGGTTCCTTCATGTTCCTTCGCTTTGGCGGGGCTCCGAGCTTCGGTGTGTGGCAACGACTTCGGAGGGTTCTGGGACGGTTCTCTTGTGGGTCTGGAGTGGTGACCTGCATGTCCTGGGGCGTGGAGATGGTCAAATCCAAGTTCGCAAACTGGTTTATAAGATGAAGAGATTCTGGTGCCCCCAATAGATCGAAAAGTCGGATCTTCTGAAGCTAACGAAACGATGATATCATTCCAGCCCATCATTCCCCATCGTTCAACACCACATCTTCCTCAAATCCCTCTCCGCCCGGTGGCCTCTCCAGCCCCAGCCCCCGCCGAGACGCGGCTGTCCGAGGTGGACATCACGTTCACGGTGGAGAAGCGACGACTGGCCTGGCGTTGTCGACGACCGTGGGGAGATCCACGGCTGCGAAGTCCCCACCACCCACGGTCTTTTTGGAAGATCCCAAGAAACCTGAACCTGGATGCGGGTTTTTGTTAAGGGTGTTTTGAACCTGGCTATGGTGAACATTTGGGCAAGGTCCAGGTTTACTAATGGCTTTAGAAACCACTCGTGACTCGTGACCTTCCCCTTCCCCTTCTGGCCACTGGTTCCACTAATTAGGTTGGATGAGGGACTGAAAAGCAACCAAAGGTGGAGTTTACCAGTTTGGGATTTTGGACCCTGTGATTGACGAATTCGGTTGATTTACCATCAACTCGGCAAGGAAAAAGTAATGAAAAAGATAAACTCATGTTCCAAAATGTACCATCAACTCGTTTGACACGTCATCACCGAGACTTTGCACATTGTTTGGGCCTGGAAGGTGCCGGGCGCCACCAGCGACGTCCGCGACTCCTCCGTGAGAAGCTCGTCTTCTTCGCACTCCACGTACGGTTTCTCCGGTTCCTGGCGACGGCCTCGAGAGACCTGAGGGAGACCCGTTTCGAGGGTGTTCGGTTTTGGGTGAGACTGCCAAGAAGGAATTCTGTAGGGTGAAGCTATTGAGTTTAGAACATGTAAGGGTCTCCTTAATAAGGCCCTTACCATTGTTTTCGTTCAGCCATGATTTTGGGGATGTAGATCAAAGTAGAGCCAAAGCAAGGCCAACACGTTGGGGAGTTTGAGATGACTTGCGTGATCCCTACAACCACCACCTGCTGGTTCTTTGTGTTCAGTATTAAACTAAGGGATGCCAGAGTTTGGAATCATGGAACAGTTCCCTACTTGATTGATGATGTTCCTGCAAGTTATGTGGTGTGGCTGATGTCCATCAACCTTTACCTGTCACCTACTGCCAGGTGGAAGAGGAGGGTCTCTTCGCTCTACTTCGGGGGGGACTGCAATATCTGTGGGCCGCCCACGGAGCAACACAAACACGACCTTCTACAGCCTGCGGTGCCCCATCACCCAACATCAATTTGTTGACACATAAACATAGGACGCCCATAGCAGCCCTGTTGGCATATATAGGAACGTCGCATTCTCCAAGCCCCTTCACCTTGTCCCTCTCCTTCTTCACCGTCTCCTTGGTCTCTGTCTCGGTCTCCGCGGCGCACTCCTTGACTGCAAAAGAAGAACGTGTCTCCCAGGTCAGCGGGTGTCTTTTGGTGTCTGGGGGTTCAGCGGGTGGGTATCTGCTTCGGGTGGAGACCCACCAGTGGGGGTAGGGGGTAGGAGCGAAGCCATACCACCCCCACACCTGATAAGTTCCAAGAGGAGCCCTGCATGGCTGGCACGTAAGCACCTACCAGCGCATTTCTGGTAGAATTAGACACAAGCACATGCACCGGGACTGTACAGCGCGGCAAGTTCTCTTTTTTCTGTGGGTAGTCTCGGTCGTACACTCACTTCGGTGAGCACAATGGCACTGGGACCTAGCCTCTCACATGCATGAACAGCAGTGTTATGGCATAACACTGGGTCACCATCGTGGTGAACGCACACAGACTAGCTGGTTAAACCTAGCCATCTGAACTTACCACATCACCCACACCAGGGGACACCAGGGGGCAGATAAGAAATCCTGACAAGATCACATCCTATAATGGAAGTGGGGACCCAAAATGGCATCGAGGTTGGAATCTGGCGTCAACTGCTTCAAATCCCAAGGTGTCCCCCAACCAACCATTCACCTTGAAAGACCATTTACCACTGGCTGTGGCCCACGTCCTACGGCACTTGCCTTTTTTTTTGATGGGCGAGTGAGACGGCGCCATGACTAAAAAGGAGTACAGTGTCTGCTTGGCCGTGACATTTTGTGCCAAGGGTCTTTGTGACCCTGATGAGTCTTCCCAAGCAGAATGGTCGACCTGAAGTGACCTAAACCAGTTCCTGACGGTCTAACCAACACGGCCACAGCCATGTCGAAGGGTTTCACCGGAAGTTCAACATGGCTCTAGGAAAGAACAGAATATGATAGAAAATGTCCCATTGCCAACAGAAAAAGCCTCCACCAAAACCATCTTTGTTTCCATACGGTGCATACACCTGTCCCTTCAGCTCCAGTCTTGGCCAAATCGTCATGTTCATGTCAAATCCAGATGAAAATGAGCTCCAACCATCTCCAACCGACCTTTAAACATGCACCCAAACGCCAAGAAATGTCCCACTCGACCTCCAAAAACCCACCGTCGCTGCCCAAGAGAAGACCAAGCCACCTTTGCCTCCTCGTCCTTCTCACCCTGACCACCTGGAGACCAATCGCGGAAACTCATTTCGGGACGTCCAAAGGGGACACGCCTGGTCGACCCCGTCAGCGATTGATCGCTGATTCGACTGGCACTTCGAAGCATGATCGAACGGAGGAAGACCTTCCGATAGACGATCGGCTTGGTGACTGTGATGTGGGTATATGTGGGTCTGAAATTCACCCAAAGACATGGGAACATCTGGAGGATCCCTCAACTGCTGAGTTGGTGAATCGTTTTCTCCCCATGTCTCCCTAGAGTCTGAAGAGGACAGGACGTGTTCTTTGAGGGAGTGAAACCCTATGTCGATCCCCACGGGACCATGGGATGCCAAGATCCCCTCGAAGCGCAGCGCACATGCTAGAATGCTCGAAGACGCTAGAAACTCGCATTTAAGCCTTCTCAGACATCCTCAGACCACGTCCACTGCAAACATTCTCAGATCACTCACCATTTGGATCCTTTTCGAAGCGGTGCCTTGCTCTAGACCTCCATCTTCCGGTCCTGCCGATGGCCCTCCGTTCAGGGGCCCACGCATCGTTCAGTTCCGTGCGCCATCTGTGAATTCAACCAGTTGAATATATCTGCTTGGGCTAGGGTGGTTCCATAAAGGAAGACCTGTATAGAATGGTAGGAAATGTGTATGCAGATGGCCCTCCTTCTCGATGTTCACCATGAAACTCCTCATCTCCGGGTTCACCTTCGTCTTTCATGGCGTCCTCCTCCACCTGCAGGAACATTTCTAGCAAGGCCTTCGCCCAAGCCGTGTTTGGAAAACTCCCAAAACCCTCAGCCGGAGGAGTTTTGCAAGCTCCATGATCCATCTTCGATCAACTGAACTCGGATCCTACTGGGAGAATTTATCAGGGAACATAGACTTTGCTTGGTGGCTCAAATATTGGGTCCATCACCACTTTGGAGTGGTCTAAAAACCTGTGGGTTCATTACACTAGGTCACTTTTTTGAGCCATAGCATCCATAGCCATTGTTCAAGCAATTCAAAAGACTCGGCTCCCAGCACCTCCCAGTCACCAACATCTGGTTGATCACCTGACTCGTCTGGATGCTCTTCCTGACCATTTGGAGCCTCCTCCTCGGTGACGGGAGAACTGGTGGTGATGTTGAAAATCAATAGTAAGACCACAATGGGAGGGGTTCTGCCAAGCACATGCCCAGTAAATGTACCAAATCAAGAGTCTGGGGAACAACTCGTGTTTCAAGAACATCAAGGATGTGCACAACTGGGTTTCAAGTTCAGCCTCTTTTCTGCTAACATCTTTGGCAAAGCATAGCAAAAGCAATGTGTTCCTCCCTTCTAATTATGCGCGTGTCTAGACTAAACATGACTGAGAATCGGGACCTACGGTTCATTGACCACACGGGTTCTTTACATGTGACCGTTCAAACGTCGACGCACAGAGCCATCAGATCGACCGCGGACCGCCCCGAAAACAACTGACTGGATTGGATGAAGTACGATAAAGTAAAATCATTGATGGATCGTGTGTATGAATTCCTTTCATCCAATCAATTATTCTTCAGGCTCTATTAGCTCTTGGTGAAGGGGGGGCAGGGTATGTTCCCTGCGGCTTCCACTCTGACGTGGGTCCGGTGACCACGGGACACATGCCATCAGGGGGGTCATGATGCCCAGCGGCCATGGGTTCGTCCTGCCCTGGCGGTTCTCCTTCTCTCTTCTCGTCAGGTTCCTGCTTCGAAAGCGCTATTCGGAACCAGAGTCCAAAACCACACCCCTCAACACCTCTAAATTGGTGCTGTGAAAAAGATTGACCACTGTTTGCATCAAGTAAAGAGTTCAAAGTTCTGATTGTCTTGGAGAAAACACAAAAACTGCAACGAATTCCAAGTGCTCCACCCAGCGCCGGCCTCTGCCCCTTCCATGGGGGCATCTTCAGCCTCCCCTGCACAAAAACCAAGTGCGCTCCAAAACGCCCCAGGACGAAGATCCTTACTCTTTTGACGACTGTAACATACTGTAACAAGAGGACGCTACGAACGGAGCGGTCAGGGCATCGCGAACCGAACGGAGCGATCGGACGCTACGAACGGGGCTCCTGGCCTTACTACTAGTAACAAGAAGAACATACTGTAACAATCTTCTCAGTGAATTGGATGGACCCAACGACGCCACGTCACTGACGCAGAAAAAAAAAAACGTCACCACGGGCGTCGCGACGCGAACTGCGGAACTTCCAATGTCGTGATGTCTTTGAGCTAGTATGCCTTTGTTCGAAAGGGATTTCGACCATGAAAACTCATGGAGAGTGCGGTCCACCTCGTCCAGCCGTCATTCCGCTTGACAACTGTTTGACACCCGCGGTATGCCGCAGCAAAATCATGCGGCCTCCCCTTTTCAGGGCTGTTCTACGAAAGTCCAGGACGGACAAGGAGGGTGGTCGGGGCGGTTCGCCCGGAGCAACGACTCACTTGTGAACCACTTCTCCCCCACAAGGGGCGACCACCACATCCCCAGCAAGCGCGTTAGCCCATATGCCTTGCTGTCATACATCGCGACCGGCGATGCGTTGGCCCCAAGGATGCTACACCCTAGCGCCTGCACCCGGCCAGCGGTGCATCAACTGCTGCCACATCTTGGCTGCAGGGCTCTCTGGCGAAGTGCCATTCAAAACCCTCCACAGTTGTCAGGGTCGACGCAATCACCAAGCATCTCACATCTTTGCTTCTGGTGACCTCTGGTGTACACCATGTTTGGCCTTGAAAAGTCAGTGCCCCTTTTGGGCTGAACATGGCAGGGCACTTCCCAAGCAGCCAGTGTTCAACGGCCTCTGCTGGGCTGCCGGAAGCTGCCGGAAGCTGCAAGTGCAAAGGAAAAGTGGCTGTGAGACCGAAGTACCTGGGTGACTGGGTGTTTCCCACAACATGCACCGAATGGACGACCTGACTCGGTCTACAAGTACCCTGGTGAAAGATGTGAAAGGGGCTCTGGGTGCCATGACCCACAGCCATATGCAAACCAGGCTTTCTTCAGCTTCACCCCGCCTGGCGGAGCCGCAGCCTCGCCTGCCGCCTCCGGAGCCGGAGCCTCCTCCGGAGCCGGAGCCTCCTCCGGTGCCGGAGCCTCCTCCGCTGCCGGAGCCTCCTCCGGCGCCGGAGCCTCCGGAGCCTCGCTCGCTGTGGCCCCGGGCGTCTCGGTCTTTTCAGCGCCTGGAGCATAGGACATGTGGATGTGTATTAGAATAGGGACCCAAAGACCTTTGGGAAAAAAAACAGATATAAAACCCCCGGTGCAACACGGACCGGACAGGCAGGCCCGTATACCCCCACACGGACAGGTGATCTTTTATGTAAGGGAATTCCAGAAAATCGAAGGTGAATCTTCCATCAGTCGACGACGATGACAGGTGGAATTCGACCCATCTTTTCATCTCCCGACACTTGCTGCGCTTCGCACCTTCGGCAGGGGTACCCTCCTGACAAAGAAGAAACCGGCGTCCACACATGCACATCCAGGTCTTCCTTTACTGTTGGAAAGGCGTTCATGGAGAAACAATGTTAACATGCAAAAAACAACAAAACCATGGAAGAAAAACACTCGTGAAGAACGCAAGCACGTTACTGATGCTTATATGATCTGACACGTCACTTTTTATTGGCGTTTACTCTCCTTCGCGAGCTCCAAAACAAGCCAACAAACAGCAAACACACTCATTCTTTGGGAGCTTTGTAACCCCCGCAAAGTCCCTGTTTCAGCGTGGCTTGGATTTGAACCGATCAAGTTCTACTGCCTCTCCACTAGCCACGCTCTAAAGGGAGTTCGATGGCACAAGAATCGGTTTATCTTCGATCTTCCCAATAGCTGGCTTTCTATCTCAACATGATCGCTTGGTTGGTTGGTTGGTTGATCGGTCGGTCGGTTGGTTGGCATTGGCATTGGTGGTGTTATAATGTGTTATATTTTGTACAGAATGTACAGCTTATTTTCTCCCAAATTCCCTTGCAGGTCTTGAACCAATGAGTCAACTGTACAAAAGAGTCCAACAGAACTGCGTGTGACAAGAGAAAAGGTGCCTGATTAGAGTAAGCAGTCAGCAACTGTACAACACTGCTACTTTCCATGGTATACTGGCCCCACGAGACTTGGGCCTGTATATATAGAGATATATACAGTTATATACATAGCAGCTGCAGTGGGCCAAATAACGGCAACAGCCTTGGGATCCACAAGACATGGACAAGCAAACAGTGCTGCAGAACACCTTGCAACAACTCACAAGCTTAAACTCAAACCTCCAACATCAAGTTCACGGCATCCATGGGGCTACAGGACAATATCCAACAATATTGCAATACTCAGAAAATGCACGGGCAAGCGTAACAGAAACAAGTTTGAGAGCAGCAGCAGCAGCAACAACAACAACAACAGAATCAAATGAAAAGCGTTGGTTGTTTCAAGTGTGGTGTGCTGTTTTAATAATCCAGGCTGGGCTTAAAAAAAATAAAGAAAACAAGAAGGATACAAAATTGGATCAACACCTCAAATATGTCTTGATCACCACAACACAAGGCGTTGCAGCAACACTTTGCAGGCAATACCAACATGCCAGACCAAGTCAGGAGTCTTGATGCAGACAAGAGGATCTTCACAACAACATACAGTATCCGCTTGAATACAGGAGCCACACCAACAGATGCAGCACTACTAATAAGAGCGACACTGGCCCTGACAAGACTTCAGTCTTCAAACAAAGCTTCCAATCAGGAGCTGCGCCAACGGACATAGGTGCTGTGAACAAAAGAAAGTAACGCACAACAACAAAGGAAAGAGCAAAGACAGAACACAGGATTATATAACATGCACAAAAGGCAAAGACGCAGTCACCGGTGTTCAGATTGTAAGCCGTTCGTAGTCACCGTTTGTTGCATTCTGTATCCTGTTCAGCTGTGTCTGTAACATATGTTTGTTGTCAACTTTCTTTTGCCTGTTGAGGTCCCTTATGGGTGGTATTCTTTCGTAACGTTACCTTGGGCCTTGCCCTATTTCCTTTTTTTCCTTTGTTGCCGTAGCTTTTGAACCCCTAGCCATAGCCAAGGCCTGCGTCCTGCGTCCTGCGTCCTGCGTCCTCCATCATGCAGAACTCAAACGCGGAACAATGGCACTCAAACAGCAACTATGATCGAGGGAAAATCCAACACTTCTCACTTTGGTGAGAACAAATGTTCTCTTCCAGCAGTATGTCGGGAAGGTCAACCTCAACTTGATCGACCTTGGACGCAGCTGGGCTTTAAAACCAAACACCGATTGAAAAGGCCTCAGGAAAGAGCTGAAGAGATTGAGGTCAACATGGGCATCTCAACAGGTTTAGCTCAAACAGGTTTAGCTCAGGTATGGAGTTGCAACACGGAATGCAACAGCCTGCGGCTGCAATAGGTGTATCAACTCCACAAAGCCATCAACATTTGGCTTCAACAAGTTGCTTTCAGTAACGTCTGCACTGCACAACATGCATTGTACAGGCGAGACTGAAGTCTCTTCCTGTACAACAGTTCTTCTCCCAACAATTCTTCGTGCCGCCCCTTGAGTCAACAGCTGTTGAGCCAACACTCGAGTCCAACAGAACTGTGCACAGTGCACAACAAGAGAAAAGGTGCCACATTTGAGTGAGTAGTCAGCAATTTTACAACACTGCCACTTTACAGGTCAGTGGAGGACTAGCGGTTTGGGCGCTTGGTGAGTTGATAGAAGCATGCACAGGATACAACATTGGCAATGGGTGTCTATCTTGTGCTCCAGCACAAGCATGTCAAAGCGGGATTGAAAAGCATCTCCTCCTTGCATAGTTAATAATGAATATGCTTCTCACATAAACCAAAGGACCACAAATGAAGCTACCAAACCTGAAAGAAAAGAAGAGATCCTGGCTCGTCCTGGCTGCAGCATGACTCCTCTTTAAAGTCTTGATGGACTGTCTTTCTGCACCGGAGAGAAGCAGATACCGGCAATATTTGAAAGACCCGAAATGCAGGGCGGATACTTCCACGCGCGAGAAAACATTGCAATTATGTCCATGTACACCATCCCTCCAACTCATCCCTCCACTCAAAATGTGTGTGTGTGTGTTAGTTTCGGGGACGATCAACAAACCTATTTGCTTTCGCCCAAAGTCACCATGTCGCTGCTGTTTCGCTCCCATCACCCATCCTCACCCATCGCGGGTGGGCGGCCCAAAACGCCGCGAGGCGCGGGGTTCCGCGGCCGGGGTCCGCGGCCCTGTCCGGTTGAGCCTTACGTGCCACTGAAACGACCCTGACAGAACTGCAGAAGAACCCAGCTGCGCGACGTCGTTTTCGCTGCAGGTTGGAGGCCATCGCTTCTAGCTTGGAGGCCATTGCTATTAGGTCGGTTGGAGGCCATCGCTTCTCGTTTTCGCTTGCATCGCTGATTCATCCGCCCTTTTCGACCTTGGCTTCGCCAAAAGCTGCGTCCTTCCCTCACCGCCCGCGCGGGCGTGCGACGAGTAAAAAGTCAGGGCGCTTTTCCGTCACGTAACCAGGCACGGATGCCAGGACTCTCCCCAGGGCCACATGCTTCGGAGTGAGGGGTCAAACATCTGCAAGAGAGCATCTCACGCCCTATTTGCGAATACTTCTCTTCCACGTGTTCATGTTTAACAGGGAAAGCAATCCCCAAAATCATGCAGGTTGCCACTTTTAAACTTTTTATATAGGGAATGGTTGTCCAGCTCAATGAGCTGGCGTTCCTTTATGTTCGTCAGCTTCCAAAAAGTGAGATCTGGGATTCAGTTTTCCAGCACTTGTCCTTCAGTGATTGCGCGTGTTTCTTGGCTGTCTTAAAATTGCTGCAAATGCCCTCCAATCACTTGTCCAGAATGTATATTATGCTTTGTTATGATTCTTGCTCGTACAAAATGAACGTCTTGAACATTATGGCTCCCTGAACACACACACACACATATTTTGGGCCTGTCCTCATCCAACATGTCTTGGCATGTTCAATTCCAAAATGACACATCATATCGCATGGTAACTGGTGGTTTCGACCCAAGTCGCTGACAAAACTGGCGCTCTGGCGTTCATCATAATCACTGGTCGGAGTTCACTTTACACGACGTGATCCGCACCGATCAAATCAACGACGGCTCTTGAAGCGTGTTGAAACCGTGCTATGGCCTGCTGTAGCTTGGTGACTAAGCCTGGTTACTTTGAGGAACCAGTGACCTGAGCTAGCTGTGGATCTAGGTCCATACCGTTAACATCCCAAACATCAACAAAGTATACACCCTTCTACACCCTTCGAGACTCTTGGCTCGAATCCCGCTATATACACAATCCCAAAACGTGTGCGTTTCTGAGCCCCAAAACGTCGGCACAAGCGTCCGACGCGGGGAACACTCGTGTCTGTCAACACAAAACACCAAGATTCTTTGCTTCGAACTCTCCGAGCCTCGTCCAACCATGGAACCCCCCGCAACAAAAACGAACAATGGAGATGAAGAATCAGATCATGGTGGAGCATGGTGGAGCTATCCTTTCGGGAGCGGAATCGATTGGGACCGCTCCGTTCGCCGCGGGTGTCCATCGGAGCGGTCGATGGGTGAACGTTCCGGCGATGGGCTTGGCCCGGTGTGTTGCTGAGTTCACTGCAGCGAAGGAAGGAAGGAAGGAATTCACTGCGCCCGGTTCCCAACGCAGCCTGGTGAAAACATGGACGCACCTGTCAGACATGTATGGATATAAGGCGCACAAACATCGCCTTCTGTTGGGCAGGGGGAAGCACCAATGGACGATGTATATATATTAATATATGAATTAATAAAGACCTGTTCAACAGAACTTGGACAAAAGGAAACTATCATAGGAAAAGTCTCTGGAGTTATCCAAGCATGTGTCCCTCAAAAACCCAACAAAGACTCAACCCTTGAGCCTCTGCCCGAAAGAGTTTCACCTTCTCCGCCTTCGCTGCAGCGCAATCCGTCGAAGGAGTCCCCTCCCCAGTGGCAGGGGAAGGCCCCTCTGTGCGGCCAGAGGCACGCGGTGGGGATGCGCTGCACAGTCAGGTGCGGCCCCTAGTAGAGCTGCAAGGGCTGATAAACAAGCTGAACACGTGCTCTGCCAGCATCATCCAGAAACCCGCGCGTCTCGTGCATCACCGCGTGGAAAGGGTGCATTAAGATGCAGCGAAGTAAACCCAAGCCCCTTCAGCAGCTTGGTGGCAAGTCCGTGGGTGCGACTGGCAAGTCCAGTCTCCCGCTTGCCGCTGGCCGACTGGTCGACTGGTCTGCTTGGCAGAGCGTCCAGCACGGGACTTGTGTTGGGAAAATCAGCTGCCACATGGTTCTCCAAAAGACCAAGGGATACTGGGGGTCTGTGTTTGTTAATGTTTTTGCTGTCCACTTCTTGGAACCACATCTATGTGTTTGTCATCCCGGGATGACACCCCATTGGTCCTGGAGCACCTGTTCGTGTATTTTTCGGAAGTTGGATCATCTATGGCTCAGGATCCTGCCACGGTCAGAACCTCCAAGCCCATACCTAACCCTGAAAACTTGACGAAATGTGTTTGTGTAACGAAAACAAGCATGCTAGAATTCATGCCTTGCCGTTGAGACAGAACAAACAAACAAACAAACAAACAATCCAAACCCGATGAGCTCGAAAAAGCAGCCGCTCATTTGCTGGCAACGGCTCTTAGCTCTCCCTGAACAAACCCTAAGTTCCACACCTGTGGAGTTTTGTGGAACCCGTTGTGAGCTCACCCACAAGCTCCGAATTCAGGCTGTTGCACCAGGGTCGCAAGGATTGGGGTGGGGAAGGAGCCTCTCAAGGAGCCAAAAAGGGTTTGGAGTATCATGGTTGCTTAACACGCAAACTCTAGACTAAGTCAATGTTCAAAACCCAAATATATAGAGATGCCCATAGATTTCCCTGTAGATAATCCTGCACAAAATCTTTGAGTCTATAAGTCTTGCATTGGCAATGACACTGATAGCTCAAAGGTTGAAGACTTTGTGAACTTGACTTGACCAATTCAGATCCCATACTGATTTGTGCTTGTCCAGTGGATCCTGCCCACTTTTCTGGACCCCGAAAGATCCGGGCATGTGTCAATGCGACGAGGAAAACGCCCAGCAGATCTGTATAACCGCTACGCCGCGTTCGGGCGCCCGGTTACGCGTCTGGGTCACCCGAACTTTGGGTTTCGTGTCCGTCTTCTTCTTCGGGCCTTTCTTCTCACCCTGCCGAGGGCGGTCAGCTCGGTGCGGTGTTTCTTTCGATGTGGGGAGGGGGTCCAACAGTATGACCAATGAGTATAGTTATAGAGTTATAGAACATCTTTACTTTGTGCCTCTCATCGGAGATGGTCTATATTATTTCTGTGAGCTTTGTGTTTTTCCTGTGAGGCTGCTCGGGGTATTAAAAGGTCCTATTGTATAAATTTAAATGTAGAACAAAAAAAACTCAGATAACCCTACTTACATAAATAACCTACCAAAACCCTTTGACGTGTGTTGCTCCAGACGATTGGACTCCACTTGGCCACTCCCGGTGGTGCCCCAACGTCCCCGTGCATATCATGCCCCGTTGAACCAGTATGTCATGCTGTTGCATTCAGGCACAAGAGGTTCACTGTCTCGTGAAAAGGCGTTGCATTTGACCGTGCTCCGTGCCGTCTGGGACTTTTTAACAAGCCCACCACTATCTGCATCACTGATGGGGCCACTCAGTTTCTGCGGGTGCAAACATCAAGCCCTTTGGCCAATATGCTCAACTTGTCGCGAAGGAGAAGAACTATCCAGAACGTCTTCGCAGAGGTACCGTCAAGAGGGCGGGGGACGCTGCCTTCTTTGCGAGTCCGGGGAACTGGGCGCTGCTCTGAAAAAAGAAACGAGCCATGAAGAAAGAGATGATGCAATTGATTCAAATGAATGGAACAAAATGATCCAGAGGTCTTTGCTAATGCTACAGGACAAGCTCATCAGTTGGAATTGGCTCAACAGAGTGTTGAGGTGATGAACCTCGCCAAGATCTCTTGGAGAGCAGAAATTGAAATGGCCCCCAGATACCAGAGGATGAGAACTACCTATACAAATCGGCCGAAGCCGAACAATGGGGAGAACACTTCAAGTACCCACACGTTGCAGCCAGAGTCAGGAGAAGGGTTGATAAAGAGAGGATCCTGAAGGCACTCTTCGCCTACCGCGACCAGAAATGTGCCAAACGAAGGGAAACCATTCCATCCCAGCAGAAGCAAAGGCAGGCCCATGCGTTGGGGGCCACGGAGACCCAGACCTGACGGGGTGTCCCTCAACAGGGACCAGCACTTGCCCACGGTGTGGAGCTTCGCCTCGAACAACACTATCTGGATAGCTGCCTCCAACATCCTCCAACATGTTCCCCATAGACCCGTGGGACGATGCCAAAGACAGCCTGGGGTCATTGTCCACAAAACTAACAAAGACATCTCCATGAGCCGGGAACACTACGTGTGGACATCCCAAAGGGAGGTTGCCACCATGGATAGACAGTCCACGATTGGTGCATTGCCTTGGTTGGCGTCACTCACACGGCCGGATCTGCTTACAGGCGTGTGAATGGCCCAGGTTGGCGCCCGACCCACCAGGATGTCGCCACCAACCAGGTGGTGAGATGGCCCACCAGGCGGGGGGGCCGGACACCGACGACTGGTCCTGTTGGTGTACCATGAACATCAACGACCATGACCAGAAAGGACACCGGCGACTCGCAGCGGCGACCTGGTGAAGGACTCACTGCGACTTGGAAATCACATTCTTCCAAGGGTGTGCTGTCTTGCACGTGACACATTCCGAGCTGTCTTGCTTGGCCTCCAGGGATCCGCAGCCAAGATCCCTACCGACTGCAAATCTCATCTTTATATGACTCAGTGGCAGCCCTGTCGCAACAAATCGTCCAAGAAGGGGAACCAACCTGAACCAACCTGGCTGCCAGAGCAGAAGATCGCCTTAGGCCGTGCCATGAGCTGGCTCCCCACAGCCTCGCACTTGGCAAATACTCTGACCAAGATCATTGCGAAAAATAACGCAGTGTGGTGGAGCCGTCTCCGTTGTTTGAATCCTGTTGTTTCAACGGTGTAGAGGAGCAATGTCTCTGCATATTAGGCTCTGTCTGTTGAACCAGCATATAATGCCCTTACATTCAGGCACAAGAGTTCACTCTCTCGTGAAAAGGTGTTGCAATTTAGATCAATTTAGGGTGTTCACAAGTACCGACGGAGATCCAACACAAACGCACCAACAG